ATGCAACACTGACCAGACAGTACAAGCACGAGCTGTTCTCCTCACCGAGCAGAGTGAGCAGCGCAGCTGCCTAGGCCATATCTGTCTCTCTTTCCCTTCCCTCTTTCCTTCCTTCCCCCGTCCCAGTTGTTCTCTCCTTGTGAGCAGTTTCTTCCCCTTTCATATTATCTATTGTGCCTTTTGAATCTTATTTGCTCTGTCAGCTTCTTACACTAGACAGACAATATGATGTTTACATGTGCGAGTCTGATTCATTTCACCTACGAGTGTGGTCTCTAGTTGCATCTGTTTATGTATAAAAGCATCGAGTTTATCTTTCTTTACAGATGAATAGTACTCCATTGTGTAAAAATGCCTCATCTTTTTTATCTATTCCGTGGTTGATAGGCATTTGGGTTATTTCCAAGATCTGGCTTTTACAAGTTGTGGTGCTATAAACATGGGTACACATGTATCACTGTGGAAATATAATATTTTCAGTTTTTCTGGAAAATACCCAGAAGAGTAATAGCTGGGTTGAATGGGACCTTCAATCCTGGTTTTTTGAGAAAACTTCACACTGATTTCCACAGTGGTTGCACCAATGTACACCACCACCAACAGTGCAGGAGAGTTCCTTTTTCCTCACAGCCTCTCCAGCATTTGTTGTTGTTGGTTTTCTTGATCCTGGCCATTCTTTCTGGAGTAAGATGGAATCTCAGTGTGGTTTTAATTTGCATTTCTCTAATGACCAATGATGATGAACTTATTTTATGTATTTATTTGCCACTTGAATTTCTTCATCTGAGAACTGTGTATTCATCTCAGATGCCCATTTTTAGATTGGGTCTTTGAATTTGGGGGCCCTGAATTTCTAAAATTCTTTTTATGTTGTAGATAGAAGTCCTTTGTTTGAGGAACGGTTGGTTTTCCCACTTTGTGGGTTTTCTTTTCACTCTGTTGGTGATTTTTTTTGAGGTGGGAAAACTTTCTAATAAGATGATAACCCAGATGATAATTCTTTGATGTACTTCACACGCAGTTTGGTTTTTGTTCATGAACTGTCTGCCTCTGTCTCTTCTAGATTTCAACCTACTTTCTCTCCCAGCAGATTTAGTGTTTCTGTTTAATATTTAGCTCTTTAATCCTTTTCAACTTTAATTTAGTGCATGGTGATAGGCATGGGTCTAGTGTTAGTCTTCAGCATGCGGAAAGTCAGTTTTTCCAGCACCACTGATTAAAGAGACTGTCGCTCTTCCAGTGAATGTGTTTGGTGCCTTCGTCAAAGGTGGCTGAGGCTGTGTACAGTGCTGCATCTTCTGTTCCACTGAGCCTTCTGTGTGCACTTCTTAGAAGACAGCACGTGTAAGACTCAGCTTTGAAGCATGATTTAGGTACAAATTGTTCATCCCAGCATCGTCGTGTCAGTTAATAAACAGAAGCAATCCAGTGGGGGATCAATACACCAATTAAACCAGGTGTGGTGGCAAATATCTGTAATCCCAGCACTCGGGAGGCTGAGGCAGGAGGATTGCTTCGAGTTCCAGGCCAGCCTGGGCTACAAAATGAGTTCTAGGCTCGCCTGAACTGCATAGTGGGATCTTATCTCAAAAGGACAAATATTATATACACCAGTTAAGGAACAAACATTTGACGGACCATTTACTTTATAGCTACAAAATGTATACTGAATGAATATTTAACACTGTGAGGAAAGTGATTAAACTATAAAGTTGGAGGACACCTGTTTGAGGAAAGCTCAGAGTGTACAACGACAGAATAACCCCAGCTGTGAGATACCTATGCATCTATCTATAGATAGACACAGATATATCGGTACAGATATATAGAGATAGATATAGACTAGATATGGACATAGACACAGATATGGACATAGAAGACAAACAAGGCTTGGGGAAAGTTTAAAGTCAGAACGCAGTGTAAGAAGTTTTTAATGGCAGTTACCCGTTTCCCCTTCCCTGGTCTTCTTTGTCTTCTCCTCCCTGTCCTCCGGATCCTTTGCCTCCTCTTCTCTCTCTCTCCCTCCTCTGCCCTCCTCTTATTCTCTAGGCTGCAGCTTCGGGTAGGACAGGTGACACTCGGCCTCCGGCTGGGCTGCTCACTGCTGCCGGCGTCTGGGGTCCCTCACCCTCAGCGGCTCCAGGTGACCATGAATTATCCGTTTCACAAACGAAGCTGACCTGCGCCTTGGGCTTTGGTCTGACCCAGTACTGAGGAGCCTTCCAGTGGTGGGGGTGTCATGTCAGAGGTGAGACGCCCCTCGTCCGGAGTCTGCCGTCTGCACAGGAAGAGGACAAGCGCGCACACCCACAGCGAGAGGAAGGCCGGTGTGGCAGGGCGTCCTCTGCCTGGCCTCGAAAACTAGGACTTTATAGGTAACAGTTATTGGGCTTTCTTTTCTCATTCTCTAAGAAATAGCGTTGACTCAGAAAATTGGAAAATGGAGAAGAAACTGATAGATAAGCACAGGGCCGGTATCATGCTTAGGGCCTCAAGTTAAACCCTAAGCAAGGAATGATCTTGTTTAACCTACATTCTTATCAGATGGGCACAGCTGTTTGGAGCACAGGAAACGGAGGTGTAAGCAGGTTGGATGAACTGCTCGGGGTAACCGACGGGGAAACAGCAGCAGGGGCAGACCTGGAGCCCACACTGACCTGGAGCCACAAGAGAAAGGGAATCTGCATCCGCTCTTCCATCCCAGGGTTTCTGAGGCGTCTGTCTTCCTACCCCGGTGGCGTGTTCTAGGTTCTCTTGCCTCTTAAAGCAGTCTTTACTCAGATGCTAAGTGGATGCCTGGGGTAGACGAGATGGCCACAAGACACACACAGAGGGGAAGGGTCCTGGGAACAGGCTCTGCCCAACAGCGAGGGGCGTCACCCCACCTGGACTGGACAGGGAGCAGACAGCACAGGGGACAGTTCACTGCAGGGGGAACTCGCAGCCATTCTTAGAGGAAGAGAAGGAAGGCTCTTGCCAGGTGGGAGGCTAGAGGATGGCTGTCCAGGCAGCAGCATCTGCAAACATCCATTAGATGCAAGAGGTGACATGCTAACTCCGAAAACCAGCCGCTGCCTCCTGGATGGCTGTGCCTCGGGCACGTGTCTCTGCACGTGTGGGAGTGTGTCCCTGTGTCTACAGGAGTGTGTGCGCTCCAGGGACCAGCGAGAGGGGCCACTGAGGAAGTCGGGCTCAGCTGATCAAAGCCCATCTGCCCCTTAAAGAGTGTCAGGGAAAAAGAGCTTGTGCAGAGCTGGAGACCTGACTGCAGGGCCTAAGCGGCATTCTGGGCCCTGGAAGGCAGCAGGGAGCCTCTCGGTGGATTCTCAGGCTGGATGGTTTGGAGAAAGAAGGGGTGGGAGAGGAGGCGGCTTGGTAGAAAGTTAGAATAATCAAAGTGGGAGGAGAGGAACGTCCATTAGGACGATGGTTACAGGTGAGGGGGTTTGGGACACATCAGAGGTGCCCTGCATGATCACACCTCCACCATGGTGATTAACATATCAGTGTCTGACATTACAGACGAGGATGGTCACTGTGCTGCAGGTGAGAGCTCCAGAGCTGCTTCTCCGCCCTGCAGTTGTGCTGCTGACCTGTGACTCTACCCCACCCGCCACTCTAGTCCCTATGGCTACGAACTCGAGTTTCCAAAAATTTACCTCCAAGTGAGATGGCACAGCAGTGGCCTTTCCGGGCCTGGCTTATTTCTTTTAGCACGATGTCCTCTGGATGGTGGCGTTGTCGCAGACTGCCAGATCACCTCCATTTTAAACCCTGCATCATATTCTGTCACAGGCACTGCAGTTTCTCGAGTGGACCCTTCGGTGATCCCCACATCTTGGCTGCGGGAAACTGTGCTCTGATGAGGGGCGGGGGCGGTGAGCGGCTTGGCCAGCAGTTTCCTTCCTCCGATACTCCCGGAAGTGGAACTGCCACACATGGGCGTTCCCTTTTAATACTCTTCAGGGGGCTCTAATGTCGTTTTCTACCATAGTGGAAGGGATGTCTATCCCCCACCCCAGCAGCATGGAGGGCTCCTTTTCCTCCTCGTCCTTGCCGACCTTCCTGTCTTTTGATTCCCTGATGATCTCCATCTTAACAGGTGTGAGACGGGGTCTCACTGTGGGTTTGATTTGGGGGTCCCGGATGACCAGTGATGCTGGGCATCTCCTCAGACCTTGTGGAACAGCCCAGCCAGCCCTTCAGAAGCAAATTTCCCTCCCCAAACTTGTAGCAAATCTTTACTGAGAGTCAGCCAAGCTCAGGGCCTGCGGGTGATGAACCCTAGCAAGAACAGGGCCCAGAGACAGCACAGACTTAAGCTGATCTTGAGCGCGGGCGGGGGGCTGTTCCTGGTAGAGGGGACTTCTAAACCCAGTGTGGAGAGAAAGGGTTTACCAAGTGGGTGGAGACAGTGCCGTTTGACCCAGGAATGCGGCTAAGCCATGCACATTGCTTATTCTCCTCTGAGCAAAGTGTCCCCCTTAAGGCTGAGCTGATTGGAACGTGTGACGCCCACCAGGCTGGCCAAGTGAGCCCCGCCTCCAGCAAGCCCCGGCTTTGGAGGCACCGGCGCAGGGTCCCCGTGCCTGCTTGCTGAGCAAAACCTAGTTACTGGCCATAGAGGTAGGTGGCTGAGCCCGGAGGTCTCGCCTGGCAGTGGCTTCGGTTCCCTGGCCCCGTCGCGCTGAAGCCAACCGGGGCAGGGGGAGAGCTGCATGAAGGCAGAAGCAGAGCGACCCTGGACACACACTCTGCGGCCGCTGGGGGGAGCACGCCTCGGAAGGGAGGTCATCGCCTAGCTTGCCTCCGGAGGGTGGGGACCGCGGCGGGCGAAGCTTCGCCTCCCTGCGCGGGGTGGGTTCCTGATCCCCAAGCCACCGCCCCCCACTAGCGCAGCCTTGGTCCAGGCTGGGGGCGTGGCTGGGGGCGGGGCCACGTGGCCTGGAGGAATTTGAAAAGAAAGGCGAAGTAATTAGCATCCTCCTCTGTCATTGGCTCTCTGCGCCTCTGCTTTGCATACGCCCGCCTGCTGGCGGCTGGGCTGCACTGGGCTCCGCGGCGTTTGCAGCCGGCCCGGCAGCCGCCAGGCTCAGTGCGGGGCGAGCGTGATCCGGCGCTGGAGCCAGAGCCAGCGGCCCAGGGTCGGCGGAGTCTACGCCCTGTGCACCCGAGGACCGGCGTCCGGGCCTCGGCGCCCATCCCGGCCAGGGAGCGGCCAGGCAGACACTTCTGATTTCGGATGAAAGGGGTGAGTCCGGGCGTGAGCCTCCCTCCTGGCCTGGCTCACCGAGCCTCTTGGCGCCCCAGCTCCGGCCCGGGCTCTGGAAAATGACTTCACGCTCTCCCCGTTGCCATCCGGCGGCGGCGGCGCGCTGGGGCAGCCCTGAGTGGTAACCTCGGGAGGCAGCGCCTGGGGCCGAGTGAGCCGAGGCGGGAATCCCGCCTCTCGCCGGCCTCCTCCCCCGGCTCCCCGGCGGCCGCAGCATGAAGTGGCGCAGCGATGGCCAGGAGCGGTAAGAAGCCCGTGGTGCGCACGCTGGAGGACCTGACGCTGGACTCGGGTTATGGTGGCGCCGCGGACTCGGTGCGCTCCTCCAGCTTGTCCCTGTGCTGCTCCGACTCGCACCCGGCGTCCCCGTATGGCGGGAGCGGCTGGCCGCCCCTAGCCGACTCCATGCACAGCCGGCACGACAGCTTTGACACCGTCAACACTGCCCTGGTGGAGGACTCCGAGGGGCTGGACTGCACCGGCCAGCACTGCCCGCGGCTGCTGCCGGACCTCGACGAGGTACCCTGGACGCTGCAGGAGCTCGAGGCGCTGCTGCTGCGCGCCCGTGACCCCCGCATCTGCCTCCCGGCCCCCGGCGGGCTCCCCCGGGACGCGCTGGCCCGGCTGTCGGTGCTGGTGAGCCGCGCGCTCGTGCGCATCGCCAAGGAGGCGCAGCGCCTGAGCCTGCGCTTCGCCAAGTGCACCAAGTACGAGATCCAGAGCGCCATGGAAATCGTGCTGTCCTGGGGGCTGGCGGCGCACTGCTCCGCCGCCGCGCTGGCCGCGCTGTCACTCTACAACATGAGTAGCGCGGGCGGCGACCGCCTGGGCCGCGGCAAGTCGGCGCGCTGCGGCCTCACCTTCTCCGTGGGCCGCGTGTACCGCTGGATGGTGGACAGCCGCGTGGCGCTGCGCATTCACGAGCACGCCGCCATTTACCTGACGGCCTGCATGGAGAGCCTGTTCCGGGACGTCTACGCGCGTGTCGTGGCCTCGGGGCTACCCCGGGGTTGTGGCGGCCCGGGCTCCGGTTCTAGCTGTGTTCCCGGCCCCGGCCCAAGCGCAGCGCCCTCTGCGGACGCGGAGCGCGAGGCGGCCGGAGGGGGCGCGGCGGGAGGGGGCGCTAGCAGCGCCCCCAGCAGCACAAGTGGGGGCAGCAGCTGCTGTGCCCCGCCGGCCCCGGCCACCGCCGCAGCCCAGCCGGCCGCCGCCGCCGCCAACCACGGCCACGCGCACCACGCGCTGCACGAGGCGCCACGGTTCACGCTGGAGACGCTGGAACACACGGTCAACAACGACTCGGAGATCTGGGGGCTGCTGCAGCCCTACCAGCACCTCATCTGCGGGAAGAACGCCAGCGGTGAGTGCGCACCCGCACCCTGTCCACCGCGCGCCACTCGGTGCCCCCGGTTGCCTTCGCCCAGCGCCCTCCCCTCTCCCCGCAGCCTGAGGCGTGCAGGCGCGGGGCGGAGGCCGCGTTTGGTATTTTGGAGGAAGTCTGCGCCTCATATTCGTGTGTCTCTTACTGGAAGTCTTGTTTGTTCTGACCTTTCACACACTACGTTCCAGGCAGTGCCCACGAGTTGGACTTTGGGGGAAGCGCGTCCCTGTCCCCACCGCGCGGTCGGGTACCTGTCGCCCCCTCCCCCAAGGCACTGTTGAGCGAGGAGAAGCCTAGGGTGGGAAGGTGGCTCGGCAAGGCTACTGGGCTCCAGGAGTCTCCCCGGGTTTCTGAGCCAAGCACCGTGGTGCTCAGCCGTGGAACCAGCTAGCGCCCCACGTGCCCCCTCGGTCCCCGCGGAGAGCTGCAGCTGTCACAGCTGGGGACTGGGGCGGGAGTCTTGCCGGCGTGGGGCGCGGCTTCCCGCGGGGCCTCAGCGCCCTCTGCACCCCCGCGCCCGGTGGGTTCGAACTCAGCTCCGGCGGCGGAGAGGGGCGGGCGCTGGTTTTGGAGAGCTCGCGCAGGGCCAGGGCGAGACACTTCAAAGCTTCAGTTTTCCACAGGAAATGGCAGAAACGTAACCGGAGACTCTGAAAGCGAAATAAAACTTTGTTACATATGCGGCGGTTTGGCCTGAGGTTGTGCGGCTGGAGCTGAAATGCAGGCTGTCTGGGCCGGTTTCGTTCGTGTCTCGACCTGCCTGCGGCTTCCCGGGCTTCAGCAGCGTGGCGGGCGCGGCCCGGCTTCGGGGTGCCCAGTTTGCGCGTGTGCGAGTCTGGGAGTGCACCTTGAGTGTGCACACGTGCGCCACGAGTGTGCGCAGGAGCAAGAGGCGCAAGGCGGGGCTCCAGCCCGAGTCCGGAGTCAGACACTGCGACCCCTCCAGCCTCGCCGGTGGCGGAGGGGAAGGAAGCAAAAGAGCGCCTGTGTGCGTGTGTGTGCGTGTGTGTGCGTGTGTGTGCGTGTGTGTGTGCGTGTGTGTGTGCGTGTGTGTGTGTGCGTGTGTGTGTGTGTGTGTGTGAGAGAGAGAGAGAGAGAGAGAGAGAGAGAGAGAGAGAGAGAATGAGAGAATTGTGGGCCCCTGATCTGGGAGATTTTTTCCCTTTGGCATAACTGCCAGAGCCCCGCCCCCTCTGCTGCCAGCCGAAGGTCGGGGCAGGAACCCTAAATAGATGCTATGTGCATGGCCAGGCACGTGCGCACACACGCACACACGCACACACACACACACACACACACGGGAACCCTCGCGGGTGCAACATCCGGACTTAGAGTAGAAACATCTGGTCCAAGTCTCGGCTCCGTGTCCGGTGTGAGGAGGGTTCACCTGCAGAGCGGGCAGCCCTGGACTGCCCTTTGTGTGGAAGCCCCTGTCCTGGAAAGGCAGAGGGGTCCCAGGCTCCCCCACTGCACACCGTGCAGCCCCTCCCTCCCTCCCTCCTTCCCGGGCTGGAAACTTGCAATTTGACTTCTCTGGACCTCAGTCTCCTCATCTGCAGAATCAGGCGCTCTGTTTACAAACCCCTCTGTCGGGGCTCTGCGAGCGGCATCTATGTATCTTTTCAAATAGACTTTACTTTCTGATCCTTAACGTCTTTTAAAGATCCTCCCATCAGCCTATGCAGAGACAGTTGTTTGTGTTTACCCTTTTTGGAACAAGTGTCATTTAAGGAGAGAGGCCGCAGGGCTGGTTTGGGGCAGGGCATGTGTGGCTGGGATCTGCTGCCATCCCAGCCGCGCCCACACCACAGAGCTCAGCTCCTGCGTTACTGGGCCCTTCCGCCTTCCCTGGCCAGAAACACCCCGTGATTTTCCAGTGATCTGTTCGTCTCCTTTCTCTGGGCTTTCTGGGAATGGCAGGGCACACATGCAGGAGTGCGAGAGATCTCGGGGGCTGAGACCCGGGGGCCTGCCTCTCACAGAGCTGTGCATGCCGTCTTTCCAGCTACAGGTCACTCAGGAGAGCTACCTTTCGGGGTGGGTCCCTTCGCTGACTCAGTAGCGCCAGTGGCACACTCATTTGTGAATTCATTTGTTTGTCAGGTGTATTGAGCAGTCTGTGGCTGCCAGAGACCGAGCTGGCATGGGAGAGGTGGTGAGGGCCCGCACCTGGTGTCATCCTCTCTGCCAACCCGTTTGATCCTCGGCTGTCCCTTGAGAAGGTGCTGCATGGCTCCCGTTCAGACGCAGCAGAGGAGGGACCTGTGCCTCATGCTTGTTTTAATGTGACCGTCCAGGGTCCACTCCCTGACCCACAGCTGAGTCCCTGCCGTGCCACTGCCCTTCACCATCTACCCAGTCCAGGCCTCTGCAGCTTCACATGTTTCCATCCCAGTGAGCGCATCTTTTGCGCCGCCCAGACGGAACCGGGGCCGAACCTGTCTCACATTTGTGTGTCCTCTGGCCAGCCCGAGGGAAGCCGGGGCGCACTGGAGTCTATTAGATGCCTGTTGGGTTGAGCCAGCCATTGTACAGCAATAGGGGACCAAACGCCCAACACCCACAGCGTAAAGGAGACGGGGTTATTTTGGCCCAGGTTCCGGCCGCTCCAGGCCATGGTCAGCGCTGCCAAGCAGAAAGATCTCGGCAGCAGGGCCTGGCGGAGCGATGCTGCTCCCCTCACGGCAGCCGGAAAGCAGGACGGCAAGGAGGAGCCGGAGCGCGTGCTCAGGGGCACTCTGTGCCCAGCCACGACGTGCGGGATGCTGCAAGGTGCCTGAGACCCACCGCTCTTTGAGTTTCTGGGCTCGTCCTCGCCTGCCTTTCTGCCTTGTGGTCCCCCCTCACTGTCATCCCCACATCTCCCCGTCCTTCCTGTTTGCTGCTGCAAAGCTGCACTCATATGAGACGGGCTCACAGGGCACAGGGTGAGCAGGAGCGGGGAACCTTGGGGGATTTTCTCAGGTTGGTTTTTGGCTGTTTTGAACAGTCTGGGTGACAGTTAATTGACCCCAAAGACTGGTGGTGTCTCTGCGGGGTTTGTACCTTAAACTCCCTCAGAGCTGGCCAGGTCCCCTGACCCCGCTATCATGGAAGCCCTGACTGGAGAAGTCTCATCCCTGCACCCCTGGAGGGCTCCCCCTGTGCCGCCCCAGCCACACCCAGGTGCACCCTGCAAGGGCTCCCCCTGTGCTGCCCCAGCCACACCCAGGTGCACTCTGTGTTTTTCCATATGACTCCCCATAGCTCCTGGCACTTTATAGGTGCTTCTTGCTGTTTGTTGAATGAATGTGAAACTTACACATCAGCCTCTGTAAAGATAGCTGTGAAGGAAGTGTGAAGCCTGGTTTGAATTTCATAGCTGTCACTCTGGCTGTGTGTTCTTCGGTAAGTCGCTTGACCTCTCTGAGCTGCAGTTTCCTCAGCTGTGAAGTGAAGGCATCAATGAGAAGGATTAAATGAGACTGTGTTTGGAGGCTGTCACAGGCTGGTGCCGACACGTGGCTAAAATGGTGGTGGTGGTTGTGCTAATCAGATGTGGTCACATCCAGACAGAGTGATCCCGTCAGGTGGGCGGAGCCTGCAGGATCCCCCTTTTTTATTCTCCTGACATCAGAGAGTTCAGCCATCCCGGAGTCGGTCCCACAGGTTCAGCCCTTGGCCACGGCCGAACTAGTAAAAAGTAATTTTGATCAAAGGAAAACGGCTTTTTCTCCTCTTCAGTGCTGGGGATGCCCCCTCGCCTTCCCGCGTGAGGCAAATCCTCTCCTGCAGGGCCACACCCTCAGCCGGGAAGCAGTTTGTTGACTTTGCTGTATTTTGTTTTGAAGTTAACAAGCATCTTTGGAGAATGCTTCCAGGTGACAGAAATGTCCCTTGGGCGTCTGGGCCAAGACTTCAGAGTTCTCGGCCTCTGTTAGAACTCACCCTTTCGTATTTGTGCATTTCTCTGTGTTGCAAGATACACACACACACACACACACACACACACACACACACACACACACACTACAGGGATCCGGGATGTAATTTTGTTTGGAAGGGAAGACGGCAGGGGGTGTGCTAGGAGGATGTCACTCGGCGAGACCTGGCCTCCAGGGTCGGTTCTGCGGCTTTCAGGCTGGTGCCTTCATGTTGCTGAATTTGGCTTCCTACCTGGATGGGAGGATGAAGTGGGTGAAGTTGCTGGGTCACTGCCAGCCCATCGGGCGGTGACCGGACCCGAGGAGGTGCCGTAGGCGACAGCCCAGCTCCGAGGGCGCTGGGAGCAGCAGCTTCCTTAGACAGCAGAGTGCCTGGCGGCTGGCAGCAGTGTGGGGGAATCCGGGAGTCTCGTGCACTTCGGGGATCCCCGGCCACCGTGTAATCATTAATTACGGTGGGCCCTGGCCGCCTCGCCACGTGGCTGGACGGACGGGGGCGGTGTCAGGGCTGCGCCTCTCTCTCTCCCCAGGCTCTGGGGCTCTGTCTGCTCAGCAGTGTTCCTGTCCCTGCCCCCCCCCAGCAGTGTTGGTCCCCGGTGTGGCCTCACTGTGAAGACCGAAATGTCACCTGAGAAACTGCTCCTTTCCAGCAACTGCGAGAGCTATCTCCAGAGCCAGCCCCGCGAGCCTTTGTTCTCAGAGCACGTTTTTAATTAACCAGCTCAGTGTAAATTAAAACTGGGAATTCGGGTCAGGAGAGGGTTATTTGGTTTTCTGCACAGACGTGTCAGTTCCGTGCTGGGCTGTGTGCACGTTGGGTGTCTCCTGAAACCTAAAATAAAAGTAGAGACCAAATAAAACCACGAGGGACCAACGTGGACCTTTGAGGTTGTGTCAAAGGAGCCTCTGAATGAGGGAGAAACTCTAATTCCCAGTCCGTTATCATCGGTCACTTTGAGCCAGACGACAAACCCACCTGTAAAATGGGCCTGGCCGTGTGGTCAGATGTACCCGTGCGCCGAAGCCTCCGCGTCCGTGCTGCGTGGCAGTCACAGC